ACGTCTGTTAATTAATGATACGTCAACATTCGGGCAATTTTCATATGTTCATGAAACTGAGTATTTTAGCTAATATGAAAACTGTTTCATAAAGTTTGTCCGAAATAGATGATAAATCTAGTTTCAAGTCGATCGAAGTCGATCAAGTAATCGAAAGCCGGGTACGCAATCTGGAAACAAACAAATTGTAGGGGTCATTTAAGTATACTGTTTAAATGAAAATGTGTATCGTAATCGATGTGTTTCAATAGTTACATGTGTATTTCTTCCGTACAAAACTTTCAATATATACAAATTTATTGGGCTTTACTTTTGTGTGCGTGAATTATAAAAGAAACACGTTTTGCTTTCATTATTATTAGTCCGAGATAAGGTAGCTGCCTCGGGGTGTTACATCAGTGTTAGCCGCACTAGGCCTATCTATACTTATTACAGTAATACACAATATACAGTCTATTTTCATCAACAGATGGCGTGTACCTCCATGTACAACGTGTGCGCAACGGAAAACGTAGGTTGAGCGGGGGCGTTAATCTTGAATGCGATATTAGGGATACAATTATGCTGCGGATGGGGTAAAGGGGGTCACACATTGTGCAGTTATGGTGATTATATTTCTATAATGCTTTCATATATATGTTTAATTAAACGATGGTATTTGGTTGTACTTCCTAATATCGGGTGTTATGAAAAGGAAGGAGTTTATCAATAAGTGAGAGAGGGGAAATGTTTTATTAACTCTCTCTCTCTCTCTCTCTCTCTCTCTCCACACACACACACACACACACACACACACACACATTTAGAGAAAGAGAGAGAGAGAAGGAATAGCAAACGTTAATCTCTAAGCCATTTCCATATCTGTAGGGTATTCACACCTCTCTGAGATATTTATATTTGATAAGCTCCCTGGGAGACCATTGCGCATCACCGAATTAGAGGTACTGCCTAAGCCACTACGGCACCACCATAGTCTGAGAAATCTAGCCCTGAAATTGTCGTTCCAAATTACGAATAGAAAGAAGTTGATTGAATAATTCAACTGTTCGCATATCTGCGTGGTTTCCCGAACAACCTTAATGGTTGTGTCGGTGGAGCGAAAGAAGTCGTGATTGGTGATCTTAGAGACGATGTGAGCGATGCCAATGGGGTTGACCAACACGATGAAAGCCACGGCCACCGAGAGGACCATAGCAGCGGACTTGATGGTTCTGTCCTTGGTCACGTGCTGCAATTTCAGCGCATGCGCTTGGATTAGGTCCCGACGCGTTCGGCGGTGAACGTAGATCTTGTAGATGATCATTGGCGTCGCAATCAGCAAGATGACTGAAATTATAAGACGTGGCAATATGAACAAGTACAGCTACTGATGTGCACACTATATTCGGTCTGAAAAATGCTACCGATGTGGAAGCCAAGATAGCAGTTAAATGATAATATTACAAGTTAAGGCTCCCTGTAAATGACTAAATATTATGCTTCTATGAACAGTTAAACGTGTTCAAACATAAAAGCTAGAGATCTGCCAAGGAATGTGATGCAAATAAAATGAATTTTTCAAAATATAGTTTATACTTCTTGAACAAATCCTTGTTCATGTTTGTATTTGTAAAACTAAAGTAATCAAATGTGCTATATCAATTCTTAGCGTATACAAGAGTTTAATGCTGCAAGATAATATATGACGAAACCACCAGTCAATTGAACTGGATATAATAATAATAATAATAATAATAATAATAATAATAATAATAATAATAAATCGCAATCACAAGTTTGAAGTTACATAAATACGAAAATAGTGAAGGAAAAACGTATATACTTAGTCATTAAAAGATCCGAAAGACTGTTTGTAGAACATAACTAAACTTTGTGGGAGTGCTATATTCTCGACTTCTGCAGTATGCGGCAGGAATTATTTATTTTTCTAAAAGTTCTCTGAAAAATGGTGGCTTAAACATTTATCAGACTCATACGTGAAAGATTTGATGATTAATTGGATATTGATTACCTTGTGCGTTTCATAAGGGGCTGCTCTAATTAATTTGACATGCCTTAAACGCTGAGAGGTTCATTATCTACTTAAAATTCCGGTAGTTCGTTTAGATTAGCAGGATCATTTGTAAGTGCCGTGTTATATATTCCAAGACATTAACAGAAGATGACTGAGATTAGCTAGGTATGCTGTAATAACATCCAAGTGTGTATGTATAGGGTTTGAAGACAGGGTTAATTTTGAAGATATACAAAACGTCATTATGAAATAATATCTATGTGGTTAAATGTTCAAATGTGTATGTGAACATTCGTACAATTATACTCAAAGGTGCCAACAGAAATTTTATGTTCCAAAACACGAAATGGATAAATATACAACGATATATGTATCCCTTGTGCGGAGACAATAATAGTTATAATACAAATTCTAACTTACAGTTAAGTTAGAGTTAGAGAGTAAGAAAGAGTTAAGTAAGAAATTTAATTATATGATACTGTATTCAATGTAGTTTTCTTTTCTATTATTAAATTTTTCTATAAAGTGTCTTTGTTAAAATTTTCAAACCTATCCCATACCTACCTCATCTCATGCAGAGACCTTTGTGCCTTGCCTTTTTACAGTATTTGTTTAGACCGTTCAAAATGTGATTGGCCAATTGCGAAGAGATTAATTGAATGATAATGGCACCACTTAATAAAATAAGAGGCGAACTAATGAGCAATTTAATTCGAATCAATTTCAGTATAGGATTGCTGTCAGCAAGTATGCTTTATGTAAGAATCAATTATGGGTGGCCACTGCTCAAAATAGATTTCCTTTCTTTTTTGTCCAGCGATGGACAAAAGACGACACATCGTGTCCATGCAAAGATTCTAAAATGTTTTTGCATGGAGGTTGGACATCGAACATCCGATTAAAAATTAAGATTAGCACAAGAAAAGCTTTTGACGTGAATCAGTTTGGGTGGTTTGGGACCAAAAAAGTTTATCGTTGGGCAAAAAAGGTGAAATTTTTTTGTGCTGTAGTATAACATACTTGAGTCTTACAGATATCTTCTCTTAAGGGTATGGACACTCTTAGACAAAGACCAATTGTTTTGGATAATAAATTAATGTTCAGTGTTTATTGACTAGATTTCTTTGTATTTACCTAAATGTCATTTTACCGATGACGTTATAATTGCGATTTTGGGATAAAAATTGCAAAATCAGTTTTTCGAATTTTTCCTTTATTTGACCACCCACGAACCCCGTTATAACACCTGTTTTATGACATTATTGAGTACTTTAAATACTGCCAGTGATTTTTCTTAAAAGCTAATGGTTAAAAAAGGCAAAATAATGCCTTTGTTCAATGAAGCATTGCAACTCCACGACAAAAGCATTTTAACCAAAGTGACGGCACTGAATTTAAGCCCACACACGTGTCGTCGCCTATGCCAACTTTTTTGTCATACGATCTTGTTCGGGGATGAAATAATCCCGGTTCGAGGTGCTTATGCTCATGCTTAGCAAGAAACATAAGCGCCGATATTTTATATTATCAATTTTTTTAATCAGCAAAATGGTATATGTATTTTTGATTAATTAGATGCACAAATGATTTTCGGTATTCTGATCATCATAAACCCTGTCAGTAATCCTATTAAGCAAATAATCGTAAATCACGGCCGTATCAAATATGGCAAAGCTTTGACAGGCGATCATTTTCAGTTGTTTTGATTGCATTGTCAGCAGCACGGAAGATTGAAACTAGAAACGCTGCACGAGAATCGGGTAAGATACTACACATATTTTGTGAATTTATCGATTATTAGATTGAATAAATCTTTAAAAAGTATTCACTTGTCTCAGTGAGTGGGTAACTATCCATTACCATTTTATTGATTCCTCGCCAGTAGCAAGTCACAAATCCATGGTAGTCAATTAAACCCATTTTCACCGTTCTTTTGTACGCAAAGATTCTTATAAAGTTTATACTCTTTTAACTCTCTTACGCACGAAGCTTATATTATACGCTTTTCACGTAGCTATCCCTGAGGTTCTTTTATTCACATAGAGATATTTCCGTAAAAGTGCAACTTGAACAGTTTCAGTATAACGGCACTCCCATTATTTAGTTTAGATCCTCCCGGTTTTCAGTTATTTTCACCCGTTACCAAGGTTTATGTCAACCCTCCCGACCCTTGTTCATTACCATATTTGCAATAGAGTGAAATACAGCAAAAATGCACTGAAAACACTCAATAAAAGACGCTGGGATGTAACATCTACCCAGTTATAACTTACCGGTTGGAATAAACGACAGAATCATTATCCCAGCAAAAAGGAAAACTTCGCTGTGCCTTTTATACTCGGGTCTGACCGGTGCATTGGCCACGCATACTCCGTTCTCTAGCAGTGTATCCGAAAATATGGCCCAGACGAGGTTATAGCCCCCAATGCAAATGTAGTTAAATAGAACCATGACGAACGCCTGCTTCCGGCCATGGATTGATCTGATTTTCAGCGGTGCCCACACTGCCAGTAGTCTGAAAGCAGAACATGGCGTCTTAATACTTGAAAACGCCCGTTTGTTTTCACGTTACATGTTCTCAATATAACAGTAATAATATAATAATATCTTTAATTTTATTACATATTTTTGCAGATATTATCATATAATGCCTGATATAAATGATATATTATTATTATTATTATTATTATTATTATTATTATTATTATTATTATAGAGTATNTTAAATGTCAAGTCTGTAGATATTCTTCCATGGTGGAAACCAATCTATCTGACTGTTCATCTCAATTTGAGGGGCATGAAGATGGTAAATGTAAGCATGGAAGACAACAGTGAAGTTTACAGCAAATTTGACGAAGTCCTTCAAACTGGGATGTGTCTTCAAGACGAACTCCGATTTTTTAAAGTATTTATGTTTCTTTTGATATTATTAATATAAAAACAAAACAAAGGTTTTGCAAAGCAATTTATTGATGCACATTAAAGAGCAAGTAGAATTCATTACAATCTTTGATGTATGGATGTTCACATTACTGGATTATAGTTGGCATTTCATATAAGTTTTCTAGAACTTTTTTGGTAAGAAAAGGAGGCGTCATTCTTGCCTTTGTAACATTATATACCATATAAATTTGGCAGTTCAGCCAAAGAAATACAAGAGTGGCAATGAAAACGTGCCTTTGTCATCACCACTACGGAATATAGCAATTAGTCTCAAAGTGTAGCTAAAGGAAGAATTTGATTTCGGTTATTCCGAACATGATATAAACTTGGACGCTTGCTCTTCTTTTTTCGTTGCTTCGATTTGTCTGAAAGGTAATAAAATATGGTGTATTTTTGAGAAAGGCTGTACGTTCAGTGTTCATGGTTCAATGGCGGTTCAACAGTGCTAAAATAAGTAAAAATAAATGAATAGAAATCTATTTTAATCACAAATACGTAACAATAAAGAGTTCTTTAAAAACGCGGTTTACAATTGCATAATACCCCTATTAATATAAATGAAGTAAGATATACATAATGAATTCAAATCACTTGTTACACATTATAAAATTTGAGGCATATACTGATTAGAAATATAAATGAATGTAAAATATGTGAATACTTGATACACGGAAAAAGAAACCACACTATCTTTATATGTATTTTTGTTCTTTCTATTACAGTAAAAAATAAAACACACGTAGTATTCTTAAGTATTATTAATCAAAGAAGTGGTAATGGTGATTTCGGCTGTGAAAATCAACTTGATATATTATACATACTCGTGCGCGTGCGCGCGCGCACATACAGGCACATTTTGTGTTTAATATCCCAAGCACTGCGTATACACTGCGTTCACATGAATGTACAAACAGACTCAAGACACGAACATGCGCGTATAAAACAGTTTCTCTTTGTTCTCACCTAGCCTATGACAGGAAAGGAAAACCTTCTGCAGCAAAAGCAAGACAGCTGGTTATTGGTGCCCCGAAAAATGGCAATCCTGCTACCCGAAAGAAAGCACTGGGTCCTGCAAGTTCCCCCAAAAAAGATACGGCAAACAACTGAAAAGATGAGGCTTAAGATATTATTTATGTAATACATACAAGTTACATGTAGGGCGATGCATTTCGATTGCCTGGGATATCATAAACCTCAGTGTTTCCTAAATTTGTTTACGTCTTCGAAAGCAATACCACCAGAGAAAATTGCTAAAGAAAATCATACACGTGTTATTTTTTAATCATAATCTTACATATGGCAACTTGTTTTTCCTTTAAATTCAATATATTATTTGGCATAAATAGTTTTAAGACGTATAGCAAAAGAGTTATTACTATAAATACTTACAACACCATATGCTGCTGGTACAACTGTTAGAAGCTATGAAAAATGAAATGAACATATTTCAATAAAGTGAAAGTTCTATTATATATGCACTGTATGTGTGTGGCTGTGTGTGCGTGTATATATATTTGTGCTTGTGTGTGGCTGTGTGTGCGTATGTGCTTGTTACAAGAGTCAACAACCTGCAAAATATTTGGCATCGAGCGGTGGTTAAATGTTAGATACATTTCAATGAATTAGCTATGTCTGTTTGGGATAGCACACCGCAGGCAAGGAAAAATATCCTTTTACCAAAATAATTAATGCATACAGATGTGCATCTACATGGTGTATGGATGAATTTTACAGAACACTTTAAAAAACGAACTAAATGTGATTTTACCTGTAACATTTAATTGCACACATTGGATACAGCGCTGATCCGATGGTTCTATATCAACAAGGCAACCGCACACAAAAACCAAGGTATTTCCACTTTGAAGGGGACTTGCCATTCAAAGCCTATGTCATAGGCCATGTCTAATAATTATTTACTATATCCATCAACCCAAAGATCTAAATATGTATCTTTTTATATGTACATGGTTTTCTACAAGCTAAAAAATGGTGAGAGAGAAGGAACCCTTTACTCTATAGACAACCAACAATTAGGGCACAAAATACCCCAGAGAACAAATAGTGCATATTGAACAATGTTTCGCTGTATCTAAAATACTGACATAACTGAAAAAAAAAACCCCAAAATACACGTCTGTATTTTGATGCAACATTGAACTATAGTTATGATTTTAAATATGAGATATTATGAAAACTGCATTGAGAAAAAATAGTTTCACAGCCCATGTAGAGGATCACCTACTTGTAAACTGTGCGTCTATTCCGACGACCACAAGACAGAGCAACGCAGCGAATAACAAAGTACGCACACGACCCATGACGCTGGCGGTGAGATGTGACAAAGAAGTACAAATCTCGCTTTTTCTTTTACTACAGTTGATTCCTTGTGTTTTATACAGGAATGGAACAATGCATCTTATGTTTTTTTTTAATTTGTCATTACAATGATACCATCATTTGTTCCCGTTTGTGCCAGTGAGTAAGTAATTGAGTTGTGACAGACGGGTACTGTTACATAAGTATCGAGTTCTCTTTAACTAAACATGCCAAAAAGTGATTTGTTATAGGTTATCATTAGCGATGCTGTTTAAAGTGGTTGGTTAATTCTTCTGAGTAGAAAACACGCTTATTACCAAACATGCCCATATGATCAATTTTTTCCCAACAGATACTTATGAATCCTTATAAATAAACCTGTGTCGCATCGTTAAATGCGACATTTATGCCAAAGGACAAAAAATAAGAAAAATAAATTAAGAAATTTACACAATGGACATTTAAGATATTTTCGAGTAAGACTCTTCATTATGAACCAAGCACTATATTTAGGAAAGGTACACCTATCATTTTCACCGATAACACTGTTAGCTATCTTACGTGACAAGAAAGACATCATAAAATTGAATATAGACATTATAACCGCAACACTAAAATTACATTATACAGTTAATTTATAGTGAAAAATTAAAATGCATCATTTGGTAAGTTCGTAACCCCGTGATCAGGAGATAACGCACTTGTTTGTGCCTTATATACATGTAGTACACCGCCAACGTTCATCAAATCCAGTTCCAGTATTCATGGACTTGTGGCCCAGGCTAGATTGATGCTCGTAAAAAATGCAGGATAGAACAACGTTGTACACGTGTAAGTCTTTTTCTGGTCTTTTTTGTCCGTTTGTTTCATTAAGCACGTTATCCACCAGTATATTTGTGTATACTAGCATATTTGATATAATTTGTGTATTGTTTTGATGTTTTCATTATCACTGACACTTTTTCTCGGCAATCCCTTGTAAACAACTGATACTAGTATTGGCCTTACTACTATCGTTTTCTTAAAAAAAAAAAAAGAAAAAAGAAAGAAAAAACAGTGTCTACGTGTTTCATTTAAATCTTAACAACTAGGTTTCAAAGTGAAATTTTGATTCATCCAGTTATATTATACTGAGATAATTAGAAAATTACATCTTATACTGGATCTTACGTTGGAACGGATATCACATGTAATACACAGTGATATTAGTGTCGGACTCAGCGTTGCAGAACTGTGAATAGTTTGAAGCCACTGCCGGTGTGGAAGGAATGGTAGTCCTAGTAACGCCTGGGAATGCAAGTCCTAGATAAACGGAATGCAGGACCGTCAGGAATAGAAATCCTATCCATTTTTACGTCAGGAATACAGGTCCCATAAGGACTACTTCCTAAGGAAGCGGGCGGACCTGTCTGCCGTTTACACCGGTCGGGGACCGGTACACATACTTTTATATAAGTCCAAGGTTTACGCCAAGTTAAATATTTTCAAAGTTCTTAGCAACCAAATACTGTACATGAATGATAATGGCGGATCGTCAGACAACAGAATAATTGATGTAAATAAATACAATGCTCATCATTTACTCGTGTTAATATGAAGTTGTAATATTTATTTGAAGTATACAGCAGCCAGACGGACTGAATTGGCCCTGACATACAACTATATGAAAAACAGCTCTCTTCAAGGCCTTGTCAGCTGAATGAAAACGGGGAAAATCATTAAAATGAACTTTTTTTCTCAACTCTTATCCATCTTGAATACCATAAAGTACTGGGTACAATAATTTTCTAAAACTTCTTCACCTTTATCACAATATCGTTTGGCCTTTTATTCCCCATGCAGCATTAATTTGCAAGGGTTGAAAATATTGATGACAAGGCACTTTTTTCCCATCTTTCACACCCCCAACTTGACACAGGATGAAATTTTGGACAGAGGGGGTACACATACATCATGTAACGGCCAACAAATATCCAATTACATATGTCAGCTATTTTGAGACACACGAGGACCCAATGGCATTCTACGGGATTGTGTGTTTATATCTAAACAAGATAGGCGAGGCAAAGTGTGGTGTCGGGATTGAAAGTGTTTAAAAAGTCTGGTCCTGTTACAATTCTTGTGATATCACGAAAAGTGTAGTTTCTCTAAGAGCAGGTGGCAAAAGGTATGTTAACAAATAATAGTGCTGCAGGAAAAGTTTGAAAATATGAAATTATACCTGAAGTCGGAAGCACTCGAAGTTGTATGCAACTGTATTGAAGACGTTTTGTTTTTTGTTTTTTTAAGCTCAAATTTTGATGAAGCAAAGAATCTGTCACCCAGTATCCAGATCAAAGTAACGGTGATGAAGCGCAATTGTCAACGTCCAAGGGCTTATTCCCATTGAAACTATCGTTCTACATAGATTGATCCAACTCCGCGGGAACTCCTGCTGAATGCAATCAAATTGACCAAAAGACACGTCATCTTGAGCAACTAGCGGGTGATTAGTGCATGAGTGCACAGCTCTGACTGACATCTAATTACATGGAGCTGCACTTGCAGTTTTTCCTTAATTGTCATAATTTGTTAGTGCTAATCTCTTTTAACATTGTTTTTTTTTTTACTTTTTTTTTTACTTTATTATACGTTTTTCATTTTGTTCTATGCGCCCTTTTTTTTTTTTTTTTTTTTTTTTTTTTTTTTTTTTTTTTTGGGGGTAAAAATTTAAAATTCCTTTTTTTTTTTTTGGTTTTTTTTTTAAAAATCATTTTTTTTTTTCAAAAAAAAAAAAAAAAAAAAAAAATTTTCATTTTTTTTT